TAACCGAAGCATCTTACTCCAGCAAGAGTGTTGTGTGACGACCTTTAACGACGGGTACAAAAGATAAGTAATTCGCAACGGAGCATACGTTACATACCAGTTATGTCGGAAAATTTCACAGTAATTCAAGAAAAGAAAGGAGAGCTTACTGGACCACGACAAGCATTGATTCATGGTGTACGATTATCATTCTATGCTCCCAACATTGATAAAGATTTTGAGAAGGATTTAAACCATTTTGAAACCCGGTCAGACGATATCTATGTGGTCAGTTTTCCAAAATCAGGTAAGGCCTTGGACTGAGAATGGACCACGTTTATTGTGGTAAATGAAATACCAAATTCCTAGCCAATTATTTTACACGTACCGCTAATCTTTAACAATCATCGGTGAAAAGTTTGTGCATATGTTTTTACAACCCGGACCAAGCAATATTCTCAAGGTCCACCATAATAATCACACAAATTCAAATTTTTCTTATGATAAATTCCCTAAGGATCCTAAGCTTTAGAAGCTTAGTATCCGTGCTATAATTCCTCAACCCAAGTCGCACGAGTTTGAGTTTGAACTCAGCGCTCTCTGGTTTCAAGGCCCAGTGACCACAATTGTATTTTGTAAAGATACTTACTTAATCAACTGCACGAAATAGAAAACATTTTATCTAGCTTCAATCTATAAGCTAAAATCAGTTCATGGCCGATAAGGCCTACTCTGCGGACTTGAATCACCGTAAGGTTGGGCGACTTAAGCAAAATTGAAAGAAAAAACACTTTGCGACCTTAGGCGATTTAAGGCCACTTAAGGCCATATAAAGCGATTTTATTTGACTGAAGCGAGAAAAGGCAACTTCAGCGAAATGGGCAGAAAAAATATTGCGACTCGAGGCCATTTAAGGCGATCGACTTAAGGCGACTTAAGGCAACCTCAGGTCCCAGAGCAGGCCTCTGATACTTTCGACAGCTTTTCCTTTTTGTGATACATTCGCTTCATTTCTTGTTCGTTTCTTGAATTTTGTTTGCGAAATTTTATGATTGTCTCTTCGCAATTTAAGGCTGGTTACATTCTCAAATAAAAACTTTCCGATTGGCCACGTTACCCCACTTTGCCGTCGGTTTCTTTTTTTCACGGCAGAAATTTTGTTTATAAGACGTCCGCGACTCATGCTTTAGCATCCATTTTGAATCAGTTTATCCATTTCAGACCACGTGACCACATAGCTTAAAACGGTCTATGAGGAGAGAGCGTAAACCATGCAGTGTAAAATTTTACAGCCAACCGAATGACTGCTATAACTGACGGAGTAACTAATGTTTACAACCAACCGAATGAGAGCTTACGAAAAATGCAGATTGCAGAAAACGAGATCTGTTCTTGAACTAGTTTACTTCTGCCACAGGAACAACCTGGATGCAAGAAATTGTCTGGCAAATTTTCAACGATGGAAAAATCAGTGAAGAAAGAGTGGAAAGGCGATACGCCATTTTGGAGACAAGTCAACTCTTCGACAGGCCCAGAGGCGATTCAGACAAGAAGGTCTCGTTGAATTCTCAGCCTAGTCCCCGCTTAATAAAGTCACATCTTCCTTATCACGTGATTCCGATGAGCAAAGATGAAAGCAAAAGAAGCAAGTATATTTACGTGGCAAGAAATCCAAGGGACGTTGCTATTTCATATTATCACTTTGTCTTGAGCTTTGGCGCCGACAGTTACTTTAATGGGACCTGGAGGTTCTTTGTAAAGTTGTTTCTTGAAGGAAAAAGTAAGGATTTATATTTCTTGAAAATGGATTTCGCTGTTCGCTGACAAGTTCACTGCCTACCATCTCGGCGAGTTCGCCATCGGAGGAAAAATCAAGTTCGCCCCCATCTTTACCAGCTTACCCCCTATATATTTCAAAGGTCACGGGTGTTATGGTTTCGACAGCCAAATAATACGTTCTGCTGTAATGAAACGAGTTGAAGATTTCGGAAGGGAAATAAGGGGAGAGGGGTGGGGACGAGCTGGCATAGGGGGGGCGCGAACTTATTTCACCTAAGGGGACAAACCTTAAAAGGTGGTAGGAGGCGAACTTGCAAAAATTCTCCTTAAACCGTTCGATAGCTGTGATCAAATTTAATGATCGTGAATTCGAATAATTTTCTGCAGATTCATCTGGCTTGTGGTCTGATCACGTGCTACCCTGGTGGGAACACAAAGACGACCCTCACGTCTTGTTTCTCAAATACGAAGATTTAAAGAAGGTAAAGTATTTATCATGTTGTACTCATCTGTGTTTTATTTGAAGTACAAATACATAAGATCGACGGCGAATCCGATACTGTGATCAGTGGGAAAGTAACAAGCTAACAAGCATTCTAATTAAACTAACAAGCCCTCTAATTAAATCAAGACTGAGCAGTCGTACAAGTCTAAAACAGTGATGATTTCTATCAAAACTCAATTACCTTTTAGGATCTTTGTGGTAACGTTCGACTAATCAGCGAATTTCTCGAGAGGCCACTGTCAGATGAAATGATCTGTAAAATCGCTCACCAGTGTACGTTTGCTGAGATGAAGAAACAGTCAAGCTCTTATATCCTTTCGGCATATGCTACCAAACCAAACTTGCTTCGCAAGGGTCAGATTGGAGAGTGGAAGAGCCTGTTCAGTGAAGAATTAAACAAGCAGTTTGACGAAACATTCTTTGCGAAATTGCACGGGTCTGGGCTGCATTTTGACATAGAATAACACACACTGACTGGTTTTGAAACTGAAAATTAATCCCTTTAGTGTAGTACTTTATCGTATTTGCTATTGCGTAGCTGGGCCAAGCAATCTCTTTTCTCTGGAGTTTCTGAGTAGCAATTCGTTATTGCACTCCTGAAACGATTATCGGGTTCAATATTCAAATAATCAAATCATTAATGTAATCCTGAGGCCGGGTACGCTTGACTTAGTTTGACTGTAACATTTTGACCACTGTGATGACCAGTGTCGTTGTTGATAAGAGTACAGACCATGCTAAACCACTGTCGATTTGATAAATTTCATGGTAAATCAGACTTTTATCTAATCCACGACCTCTTTGACAGCACCTTGATTAAAAATATTCAGCATACCTGTAGTCACTTTTCCTTGTTTAAACTCTTCCAACAGCGTGGGAAACAGAATTCCATAGCTGTATGTTAGACCACAGATGATAATGTTACACAAAGCACACACACCACAGACAAACCAAGACCGACATAAATCAGATTTGCATGTGTGTCGTACACACGAGGATGACTGAAAGCCATTTTCGACGACATTTACGGCTGATTCTGACTCTTTCCTCGACATCTTTACGAAATCAGTTGAAACGGTGCTCTAACAAAGCATCACTGGGTGCCTGAAGGGCTCTGAAATGTAGGGTGCCAAACTCCTAAAGCGTTCCTCCCCGTACTCACTAAACCACGGGCAGTCCGCTCCTCTGCGAAGTCGATCCGTCACGCCAACCAACAATGGTCAGTGAAAACAAAGGATTAATGTTACCGCGTGGAGCTCTGGGAGCGAGGTGACTACGGACTTCGCCAGAACATTACACCTCACTCCCACGGTTCCGGTGGCGCAATAACATTTTTTTTTTTTTTGCGTCGATTTTTTTTTGTACTCGCACATGGACTTCGCTGAAATTGAAAACGAAGGACTGAGCATAAAATATGCTCATTCACCTGACCTCTTGAAACTAGTAAAACAAAAAAGATACGTACCGCAATGTAAGCAATTTCAGTCGCTCTCTTTTACTTCTACTTTTGGCGTCTCCAGCTGTTTTTATTTCTGTTGGGATTCCAGTCAAATAAACTATCACAAGGTAGTTGGAATCTTAACGTTTAATAGAACGAACAACTTACAGTGCAAGCGAATCCTAGCACGAGGTAGGACTAACTTGATTGGCTAACTCGAGTCACATGACAACAAGCGATTGCGTGACAATTACGTTACAATCTCCAACGTTACTTGCACGAATAAAAGTAATGAGTCTCCTTCATTCTTTGGGATGTCACGCAACACTCAGCTCACGCTGTTGGTAATAAGTCGATCGATGGCTAATCGACAGTTTACATACTAGATTAACAAGCGATTGCGTGACAATTAACAAATGGTAAACACCACAGCGTACACTATTGAGTTATGGATGCAGGCGGGAGGTAGCTAAGCACGAA